GTTCGACTTTGGGGTGCGAGCAGGCAAAGGGAGTGGGGAGCAGGCGGTTAATGTAGTAAAACCCATGGCCAGGATCGTCGACCATAGTTTGTTGCTAGCTCCCCGTGGAATTATTTGGGTCGGAGCATGGGTCGGCGTGGAAGACCGGGGGCTTGTTGTAGTGCAACCTTCCTTACTTTGTTTTTGTGTTGGAGACAACTGTCTAACTGTCCGACACTCGGAGGGGTCAGACTAGTCCGACACAATGTCATACATAATGAAGAAAAAGTTTATTAAAAAACTTTTGTCGCCTCGTCCCGTGTTGTAAATATTTGAAATGGCTCATGCTTTTGTTGCACTGCTGTCTGTTGCATACGGTACGGTACCTAGGAGTACGTTGGCCTTCGTTGAAGACAGCCTTCCCTTGCTTGAAGCTCCTGCGATAGTACTGCCTTCACTATCAGCTTATTTGCCGCATAATGGATGTAGTGTGTATGCTGCATGTCCACGATCCTGTGATAAGAAGATCTTAATTGTCGAGTGACTGGAATTGCGTCTGAGAGTAGAGGTCAGGAATCTCAGAGGTACATTATAGCAACGAGTCTCCGTACCAGGCTCACTCTGGGGTTCCGTAGATTTGGTCAAATTGTCGAACGGCCAATCCAATATTGCAATTGTTACATTCGCGTGCGCTTTGGTCTATTGCTCCCATTCCCTGCTGCCTACGTGGATGCATGTTTCGATACGAGAAGAGTATATTCCGTACGAGGTGGCAAGCATCAGGCAGCAAGCGTCAGTCCCCCGAACGCGCGGGGCCATCCATAGTTGTGAGCTTAAGAGTCTTTTGGGTGAAGGGTTTCACTAGAACCGTCTCGGAGAATTGAAATTCCGTTGACTCAACTATGAAACGGCGCACTTTTTGTTTCTTGTTTACATAAAGAATCATTTCAGACCTACTTAAAGAAATGTTCAGTTGAGTCTTAAGTGGTCTCTTCCCACACAACGGTGAAACCATACAGGATTTGCTCCTTCGCGCGAAATTGCGAAAACAGACCCAAACTCCACTGAGAAGCTCCTGAAGTCGCTCCGCGGTATGCAATTCATTCGCAATTTTTGCAAGGATATTGGGATCCAAAGCTGTGGATCCCCTAGTCATGGCATGGTTTGGGGAGAGCGACCCCAAGCTATGGTTCTAAGTTGATCCTTTCCTAAACAGAGCAGAAGAGGCGAGATATTAGTCTCGGCTCTATGACCAGCGGTCCCAATATAGTATTGACCACGATACCGATGCACAACTTCCAAAGGGCCTGGGAGTTTCGCCCCGAAGCATGCTGCCATCGATCCGCGGTCAGCTTTGCAATTTCAACTTGACTTAAGCCGTAACCGAAGATATCGCAATGGCAGCAGGACAAGTTATACTTTGTCATCGCTACATTTTCTCAATTGGCCGCTAGTTTCGTGCCTTGCTTTGCTTTGCGCGAAACATTCTGGGAGGGGGAGGAAGGAGGAGGGAGAAGACTGTCTCTCTCACCTGCGGCCTGTTTTCTCAACCATTTCGCACTAGCCATGTTGCATTATTGGAAACATCATACTGAGCCTGATATAACCCTCGCTGTCGTGGGCTCAACTATGCCTGAATCACCGCGGTAAACCAACTACAGTGAATAAGTTTATGTTCGAATTCCGGGACAGAATTTGCGTTTTGTGGTGCGTATCGATCTGCAGGTTGGTTCCTTGATACCTCATGGCGACGGGAACCTGAATTGAAGTTCAGCACTCATTCATACAGGTGTACCAGATACCATTGAGCAAATGCCAATGCACACCTTGCTTTCATATATTTCGTATGCTTTTCCATTGGTCGACGAGCGAAACAGCAAATAATGGAGTTGAGGGGCATGCATGATGGTGTGTACGATTTCCTGCTTGGTGTTTTGCTTGTATGTGTCCGAAACTGGTATGTGTCTGTTGTTTGGCATCCACACCACCATCTGAGCCCCGCTTGGTACAGTTGCTTGGTATCGGTTTCTTTCCGTCTACAACAATTCTTATCATTCTCAACCAATACCAATCGATTTACTACCGGATTACTCTTGAACACACTCTCTCCCTGCCTGGTGTATTTGCTTCTCCTCTCCCTCCCAATCACAGTGGCTCTTGAAGTATCACCCTTGAGTGATAGACACCCAATCCATGGGCTCAAGCCTCCAGAGAAACCCAAATCGACGAAATACAACCCTGGGAGCAGCTGAGGGCTATGATGCCTCATATACGGATGGCAGTAGCAATAAGGCGATACAATCAGTAACACCCTCTGTGGCAAGGAATTCCTGTTTGGGGAACCCACCGGACACAGGCGGCCAGCCGCGCTTGCCTGACCCAATCGAGTACGAGGCTACACAAGCACAGCGTTCAGTACCTGGCTGTGCTGAAGCAGGCATGTTGGAGCATCCGGTACTTATATCAGGCTGCAGAGGCCTCCATGCAGGGCATAGTGGTCACGGTTCCAGCAACAATGATGCATGTGTCTCTGAGGAGATAGAGTTTCCTATCTGCTGGGAGCTGCACAGAACAGCTCGGACTTCAAATGCAGAATCTCCATCTGAGATGGTGGATCACGATGTAGAGCCATTGGAGTCTTATTATCAACGGATACTTGGGGTCGATGATCAGATGCAGTGCCACGAACCAGAAGAAATCAGCGAGTCTGATGGTGATGAGGGAATGCTGATGATAAAGTTTTCGAACACCACCACATCGAAGCACGAAGTCGGTGCCCCGAGAATCGGTAATGCTACAGCAGATCCTCTATCCCAAGGGCAGCATGAATGTCAAAATTATCCCAAACCTGTCCCGCAACACATACCTCAAATCCATGTGCAAGCTGTAACACCGCCGGATAGCAAACTAGCTCCCCACGTAATCCAAGACGCTATCACTACCGACAGGCCATCCCCTGCTCCTGCCCCGATTGCCTTGATCACTGACAGCAAACTGCCACAAAATATCGGGCTTGCGACTCCTGAATATACATTGACCAGTCAATTCAATACCCCTAGTCCGACAAGCATCCTCCCGAGATTCATATACAAGGAAACGAGGGATAAGGAGCGAGGATTCACCCCTAAGCTTGAGAGTTTTACAAACTGGTCAGGAAATCCGAGCTTTACCGAGAAGGCCAAATACCAGACACAGCAGAAAGTAAGCAGAGCTTATGCCTATCACCTAAGGAAAAATACTTCACCTGACCAGGGAATATCAGGTTCTTTACTTCGCGTGCTTGTTCCCTCCCTAGTTCCATTGGGCAGAGAATTGACCAATCCTGACTCTGCCTCCATCAAAAACACCGACTATTCTGTGGCTGAAGCCGGACCGGCGACTGGAGGCCCACATGCTAAAACTGTGATTGTTTATGATTTCGATTGTCCACCAGGGAATTACATTCACGAGCATTTCACGAAAATGGCTCTACGGCGCAGATGGGAACTTTCCCAAAGCTATACTCAATGGCCCAAGCTGAAGACTCCCAGTAGGGATGGTCCGGTTTTGCCTTTCAATGAGATGGAAGAAAATTGCGGAATCTTTATTCGTCAACGTCAAGTTCGCGGAGGATGATATCACGATGGTATGCAGACTGCACAATAAGGCTCTACTTCTCTCACATTCCCAAGACCTTATTTCATGTCCTTTTTTAGTACCCTTTGTATAAGTTTCACATTCTGGATGGGTCTGTGTTCATTCTCCGTTTTGTTCTCAATGCACAGCTTTATAAACTAGGGTTGGCCACCGGAGTAAGAGTAGGAGTTCATTGGCACGGAGGTTTTCTGCTTTGTGATTGGCTCCGATAGCTCTCGGTTTCGTTGGTTTTCCAGCGGTTCACTAGTAAGCGATTCCCTTTTTGTAAATCTTAGAAAAGCCTCGTTGGAGACACATATCCTATCAAATGAGATGTACTGTTCACGCCCTATATGCATAGAACAATTGTACAGATAATGTTGGATAATGAGACTTGGCTGTCGGATGTGTTACATGGTTCTGATTGGTTTTAAGACCCTGACATGGGTATATTTAATCACACAGCCCTCTGGAGCAAACGAGAACCAGCAAAGACCCGAAAGTCCAGTCACAGCGTCAGTAAGGCCCTTGTGATTGTGGAATTAAGCCCTGGTATATGATTTACAGCCAGAGCTCTGTAAATCACTCGGAGTCATGGACCTAGAAATCTTGAGACGATTGCTTATCTTGCATTGCTATGCTGATCCTGTCCTTGCAGCAGAAACCGCAAGCCATTTGAGGAACAACTCTAGGTAATTGGTACCATCTTTATCGTTTATGGCAGGAAATATATGGATCTTCCCTGTACATGTTGGGGCTGTTGCTTAAGTGTATACTAAGGTAAGTACCTGCATGTGCGTTTTGAGAAATTGGGTGTGGAATTTCTAGAACATACTGGTAAATTTTCCGGTTCCACTGTATCATGATACGTTTACCATCATAATATCCCCGCACTTTCCCCGCATCTTCTAGTGATTTCTGCATGTGCTTTGCACCACATGGTACCTCTAGATATTGAAATACATGCAAATTACTTGTGTATGCTCATGCATTGTTGAGCATTGCATCGAGAATGCACATCATGATGCTCAGCTGGTGTAGAGCCGGCTCGAGCTAGTAAAACCCCAAGACCAGATCAAAGCAATGCATATGTTGTGTTTAATCGAAACAGGAGTACCTACTTGCTATCGTTGCAGTTACCGAAAGTAGGAAACTCCGTTTAGATTAAGATTACAGTAAGAGAAATAATAGTAAATAAGCACTCCTCGCCAAGTGACGTGTGCGTATCGCACACATGTATGAGGGGGAAAAGGGAAGGGAACGGGTGACTTCCTGTCACCCTGAGACTATAGTGCATTTTGCCAATATATTACAGTACCCCGGCCAAAGTATTTGCGACCCCCCCTGCAAATATATATGGGGAGCCTCGCAAATACTTTCGCCGGGGTATTGTATATAATATCAAACCCTTTGTGGTGTAGTTGGTATCACACCCGGCTGTAATGGAAATCTCCTTGCGGAGCACCGGTTGGTCACCAGTTCGACTCTGGTCGGAGGGATCTTCTTTTTTTGTCTACCATTTTAAATTCAAAACGCTTGCATTGAAACCAGGCTATTATACTGTACGGCGGCGGCATCTGTCTAAACGCTTCATAACTACCATCAAAGAAATATCCAGAAGTTTTCCTTTCATGGTGCTGCATTAACAATACAATAAGAGAGTTGATGACCCAGCAAAATAGATTAAATCTCTTGATATTCCTCTTACAGTCCCTGAACAAAGTAAAAACGACCAAGCCTTTTCATAATTAGTCATGGCCAGACACGTTACTTAAGTACATGAACTGGCCTAGAGTTACCCTCATATCGGCTAATTATTCAGAATCATCCTCCGACTCCTCTACAATCGGCGCCTTCTTTCTCCTACCTCTCGCCGGTTTCGCCTTCGCCGGCTGTAAGAGTGGTACAGGCCTGTCTGAGTCATCTTCATCCTCATCATCTGCCGTCTTCTTCTGACCTTTTACACCTCTCCCAGACTGCAGTGGTGGTGCATCCGAAATTTCCTCATCTGAGTCCTCAACCACTGGAGCTTTCTTTCTCCCACCACCCCGCGTTAGCCTGGCGGCCGCCTTCGACGGTGGCGGAGGAGCATCCGAGATCTCCTCGTCCGAGTCATCGGCCTGTTTCTTCTTCCCCCGGAAAACTTTTGTACCCCTTGATGGGGTAGGTTTTCCACCGGCTTTCGCTGTAGATCCTTTTCGTCCTCCCTTCACGGGGGGTCTTTTATCTAGTACGGTTGTAGATGGCGAGGCAGCTCTGCCCCCTTCCATGATCGGGGCGCCGTCATCTCCAGCTGCAATGGTCGAAGGAATGAAACCTCCATTCTCAACTTCCCGAGCCTGTACCATCTTGAATCCACCTTGGACCAGCTTTTGAATATCCTCGCTCTTGTGCTGTAACAAGCCGAGCACATATGCAACATCATTCCACTGTCGTTCCGTCTCGCATCTTGCCATCCTAGCCGCTAATTTCTCTGCAAGTTGTCGGGCGTGTTTATCTTTCTCGATAAAACCGCAGAGGAACTTGACGACCCTCTTCATCGCGTCCTCTTCTAGCGGTGACCCGTTAACGCCAGTACTTGAGCCTGAGGAGGATGCCGTAAGTACAGAGAAGATGTCGATAAACTGGTTGTATACAGCATTGTCCTTGGTGGCAAGCTCAGTGAAGAACATGCGGGCAAGATCTGCAATCTTGCGGTCTTTGTCTTCTAAACATTTGGCCATCTCCCCGAGCTGACCTTTGACTTTCACTTGCCCCGCAAGAATGAGAAAGGTAAGTGTCATTAGACAGGTGCGCTTGACAGATGGGTCAGGGTCATTCAAACGCTGATAGAGAAAGTCCGTATTCTCGTCGATCAAGTGATTGAAACAGACAGCCATATCCCCGAGTGCAATGACGGCATTTGATCTTGTATTGGGATCTGCCGAGTTCGCGAGTCTAGTGAGAAACAAGTTAAGATTCTTATCACAATACTCAGACGAAACACACATCAGTTTTCCCAGACAAAGATTAGCCGTAGTTTGTAACATTTTGTCCCTGTATACATCAACGTTGTGACAAATTTCCGTTACAAGGGGACCGAAACGAGCAAGCAAGCTCTTAGGACCATAGAGAAGCTCTCGCTCGCGAATCATCTGCATGGCATCAGTGAAGTCGTCTTCGGTGGTGCCCCCGATAAGATCGAGCTCATCTTGCGCGGCTTGCGCGGCGGCGGCCACGGCACCACCTTTGCTAGGGGATGCCTGGCGGTTTCTATCTTGCGTGGCTTTTCGTTTCTTAAACTCAATCTCGAGGAGTTCAAGATGAACAATTTGTTTGACTAGAATACTGAGGTTAGAGTATATCGTGTTGTAGGCATCGGATCACTTACTAGCAACATGACCTACAATAAATAGGAGTTGTGATAAATCGGAGGCGTGACTGGCGGCTTTTGAGGTTGGCTTTAGGCTAGGGTGTTCCGGGCCTATAGGGGCATCATCCATCGGAGTATCCCCTGCTTCATCGACAGAGCTTCTTAAGGGAGCTGGGCCCGAGAATACCTGTTTAGCTCGGCGACGTATGATGTTGCTGCAGAGGACGTCTGGGTGCTTAGCCAGGGCATAGATAGCCCCAATTGCTTCCTCTGCTACCCCATACCTGGAATCAAATATAGTCGGCATTGTATCTTTTAACCTACAGGATGGGTCTTACCATTCTTTCTGGTCGGTGACTATTTCAAGCAACTCACCCAATTTAATGAGAATCGCATGATCATTAGGCAGCTTTGTCATTGTATTAGGGTTGTCTTTTCATAACATTTGATTAATTGACGTCAATACCATAAATTGAGGGTAAATACCTTTTGCTTGTCTGCCAGTTGCAACGATGTGCCTAATAGCCACACAAGAGTACTTTGCCAAAGCTAGGTCGCCTCTTCCAAATTGCCCTAGCCCAATTCTTAAAATGGTCTCCAATTCCTTCACCACAATTTCTGGTTCAGCAAGAGCGAGCATGCCTAGTACTATTATAGCTCCTCGCCTCTGCTTTTTTGAGATCTCTCTCTTTTGTATGCCATAAACCTGCCATAGTTTCTGCACCACCAGATCAGGCACATGCCCCGCTTTCATCATCGTGCTTAAGAGTTGCTCAAGCGATGTGAGCTCTGCAGGGCTTGTGCCAAACGTGAGTGAAATCATATTCCGTGAGACATAGTTTGCGGCGTCGTTTTCAGAAAATGACTCTGGTGCTTCAAAGAACAAGTTCTTATAACATTCAATGAGGTGGGTCTGAACCCCCTTGCCTTCGTCACTGTTACCCTTGGTCCAGATGAGCCGAAGCATCTTGCGGATACCATCCTATAGATGAATTATTAGTTTGTATAGGGAGTGACATCATGAGAATACTAACCCTAGCAGTCTCTACTCGATAGGCATCTATAATCTTAAAGAAATCCATAGCTTCAATCACTTCAGCCTTGTTTCTCGAAGATAGAAGTAGGCTAACAGCCTCCGATGCAGTGTGAATAATCTCAATGAAGTTGATAGCATCTAGGTGATAACGTCTTGTGAGCTGCAATATTTTAATACCCTCCTCATTGTTTTGCTGGGGCGGTATTGGGGCGTCCTCCTGTGTCCCATCTTCGTCTTCTGGAGGATCGATATCCATTTGTGTGGCAGCATCAAGCAAGGCAGCGTCGACAGTCTCGTTGCCAGGTGCCATTTCAGGTGCATCAGCCGGCTTGAGTGCGTCGAGCTCTGCCTGCACCTGTTCTAATCGCTTTTGCCAATCACCAAGGGCCAGAAACCCATCATGTGCTCTGAAAGGATGAGTTTGTACTAGGCTGGCAAGAAGCTTGATGGCATTTCGGCGAACATGACTGCTCTTGTCTTCCAGACTGCGCGCCGCAAGCTCAGCGCACCTTTGCCGTCGCTGTGGGAACTTGGTCTCAAGACTGCCCCAAGAGTTAGCTTGGCATAAAATTCGTTGCAAAATAGAACCTTACTCGAGAAGCTTGGTAAAAACTTGAATCGACCTAGAGCGGCAATAAGGGTTGATGTCGATGAATCTCTCTTCCAATACATCAAAGAAGCCGTCGATTTGCTTCTTGTGATCCTCGGTCCGTTCATCTTGCTTCGTGAGGTCTACAATGAGGTTTCCACACACTTCTATGATAGCACATCGGAGGGTATACGACTGATTGAGGTTAGCCAAGGATAAGGAGTCCTGAAATGTTTCCCGTAGAATCCTACCTCGCTATCCAATAATCTAATGAGGAGTATCATCTGCTTTATAACCAGTCTAGGACATAGTTGTGACAGTTTGGCGATAAATATCGATACAGATTTCGGTCCCTTGAGGTCATTACTGTTGTACTCCTTGTTGCTCAGCTCTCTAAAGGCACAGATTAGCCCTAGTACAGAAAGATCGCAATACACTCGCCCCTACTTTAATATCTCATCCACCAGCTGGGGGTAGTCGTATTGCTCTGACAAAATCTGGAGAAACTCGGCCATGGGTTCCGAAAGGTGCTCAAAGTAGGAGAGACTCTGTATTATAGATGTCTGGGCCCCTGTAGGCAAGTTAGTATAGAGGAATATCAAATCTCCGGCTGTTGAACCTACCAAAACCATGACCATGATGCTTGACCGCCATGCACAACACCTTCCAGACATGCATTCTGATCGGGTTGGATTTCACTCTCTGCTCGTTCTCTAGTACAACGTAGGATGGCCTTGTAAATAGCTGTACGAAACTGTCTCTCTCGGAAGTTGTTACAAAGATTCTCTGTAGCTTGAGCTTGAAGACCTTGACCATGACATCGAGCGCGGTGATGAGCTGCGCTGAAGAGTCATATGCCTGTTTCCCTCCTGATGTCTTCACCTTGGTGCCCTTCCGGCCCTTGGTGACTGAGACAGAAGCACTCTTTTCTGATGCGAGGTTCTCCGTGGCTTGTACCGCCCACTGTAAAAGGAAACCGTAAATCTCCAATAACTCCTTGTGCACGGGTAAGGTCTCTTGTTCATCAGCTTCGACATCTTGATTCGCAACATCTGCTTCTGATGACAGGCCGGATATAATGAGATCAAAGACTTTGGCGACAGCGTAATTGGGGAGCGTCGGAAATAATCTGCATGAGCCCTCTCGTGAGCTCTCACTCTTGCTCGATGACACCCAACCCCACCACCACCACCACCACCACCACATAGAGGAAATGGCCTTACTTCAGCATGCATTGGATTGAGTCGAAGGCATATCCCTTAGATATAGCTTCTGGATTCTCCGCGATCGCATCAATGATGGGGTCGAGAATGCGATTGATTTGCTCCTTTGTCAGAGCTTCGCCGTCACCTTCGCACTCGACGAGCTCGGAGTCCGCATTGTCGCAGGGGACGGATGTAGGCTCGTTTAGGTAGTATTTCAGGGACTCGTTGAGGTCAAACTGTAATTTTTCTCCGTCATCCATCGTCCACGTCCACTCTCTCGCACGGGGGGATATGGGTAGTGGGGCGGTTAATGTAGG